CTCATTTGGAATACTGTGTGCAGTTCTGGGCACCACACCTTAAAAAGGATATTATAGCTTTGGAAAAAGTGCAGAAAAGGGCAACTCGAATGATAAAAGGGTTGGAACACTTTCCCTATGAGGAAAGGTTAAAGCGCTTAGGGCTTGGAGAAACGACGACTGAGGGGTGACATGATTGAGGTTTACAAGATTATGCATGGGATAGAGCAGGTAGAGAAAGAGGTACTTTTCTCCCTTTCTCACAAGACAAGAACTCATGGGCACACCATGAAATTGCTGAGCGGTCAGGTTAGGACGGATAAAAGGAAGTACTTCTTCACCCAAAGAGTGATTAACACTTGGAATTCACTGCCACAGGAAGTGGTGGCGGCTACAAGCATGGGCGGCTTCAAAAGGGAATTAGATAAGCATATGGAACAGAGGTCCATCAGTGGCTATTAGCCACAAGGTATAGATAGGGACTCTGGGGCAAGTGATGCTCTGTCTTCTTGGTGCTTGGGGGGGTCAACAGTGGGAGGGCTTCTAATGTCCTGGCCCCACTGGTGGACCTCCTGATGGCACCTGGTATTTCTGGCCACTGTGTGGTATTTCTGGCCACTGTGTTGGACTGGATGGGCCTTTGGCCTGATCCAACATTGGTGTCTCTTATGTTCTTATGCCAGTGTGCTCATGTCACTTCTGCTGAAAACCAGATGTGACATCATGGGGTGCTCTAGGATGTGCAACTCCTTCATGGTCTCTTTCATTATAACATTTCTGGTTTTCTCTGGAAGGGGCACTGGCAAACCAGTTCCCACACCCTAAGTGCTCTCAGAGCCTGCCATCTGCAGCCTGGCAACCCTATACGAGGGGTCTTATAGCTACAAGGTTCTAATCTTCATACTGGAAGTCTAATGGGTTCCATGTTCTGCTCCTCCATATGGAAGGTCTAACCTGGAGACTCAGAAAGGGCTGGCAGCTCATTAGGCACACCTCCACGTCTGCCTACAAATCAGGTACCTGCTGAAAAGGAACTTGAGAGGAGGTCTGGAGCAGAAGAATCTGGCATGAACACGGAGTAGGAAGAGCCGACAGAGATGTGAGATCTTGAAATAGCCACTTGGGGGAAGAAGCCAAGAAAGAAGGGTTTGCATCATCTTGAATGTAGTCCTTAGGCTACATACCAGCTTTTCATTAATACCACTCCATTTCTTCTTCTAAGCTGAGTCCCTGTGCAAGCATTCCAGCCCACCTAAAACTTTAGGGTGCTTCTCGGGTCTTCGTTTTAGGATTGCCAACTTCCAGTTGGGGCCTGGGATCTCTCAGAATTACAGCTGATCTCCACATGACAGAGATCAGCTGCCCTGGAGTAAAATGGCCGCTTTAGAGGCTAGACTGTATGACATTGTATCCTGCTGAGGGCTCTCCCCTCCCCAAAGTCTCCCCTCCGATCTCAGGAATTTCCCAACTTGGAGCTGGCAATACTACTCAATTTCCACTCCCTGGCAAACAGGGCACAGGGGCCAAGGTCTTCCCCTGATGTTGCTTCCCAGCTGCCTCTGGATGCAGAGATTCTGTAACCTTTAGTCTCCCTAAAGGCATTTCCTGCCTAGCTACTTGTCAGCCGGTAAAGTTGTTGTGTCTCGAGAGACATAATGGTAACAGCATAATCTAGCATCGCTCATTATGCGGATTGTAAAACATGTAACTACTGACCAATGGTGTGCCTTCTGGAGGGAATGGTTTTGATTGGTCATTATGTAGATTGTGATTGGTTGCAATGTACATAATGTGATGGGATACTGTAAGTATTGTGGGTGTGGCTATCTCAACCAGAATTGTATATAAGTTGCTGTTTTTACTATTGTAATTGTCTAGCTGGTCTAGTCCTTACAAGGCTGAGCCTTTATGCTGTTCTCACTGAATAAATCTGAAATCACTTGTTGAACTGTTCCTCCGAGTTTAGTGTCATACTTAACAAAAGATGTTCTGATTTATTTATTTCAATCATTTCAGTGACACCGGCTCAAAATCTTCAAAGTTGCTTGCAAAGATGTATCAGAAATTAAAAACTTAACACCAAAGCAACGAACAAAAATACAACCATCAGCTCCCCATAAATCAGCCAATGCAAGCTGAAACAAAAGGCCGTGGAATCTTTGCGAAAAGCAGACACACCGCAGCATCTCCTATACGCTTCAGGCATAGGGTTGCCGTCGCCCGATGAGGCCAGGGGATCCCCCGATGAAGCCCCACCCCTGAACAGCAGCATCCTGCAGGGACACTGCCGACACAATGACATCACTGGTAGTGACATCATCCTGCTGTGGCCATCGCGTGGCAGCACTCCAGTATTGCCCTGAATGCTAGAGCATTGCCACGTGACAGCCCTAGCGTGATGATGTCACTACCAGTGACCTCATGGCATCGGCAGCATTCCCACGGAAGAGTCCCGGCAAGGAGCAAGGAGCCCCCACTGCAGCAAAGGTGAGACCTGGCAACCCTATTCAGGCAAAACATTTCAAACTAAGCATTCACAGTGGCAAAGGCCCTACATCCAGCTGTTGCTGATCTAACCTGCTTCAGAGAAAGCCTATTAAGAGCCTGATCTACCAAAAGCAAACACAAGAGAGAGGCAGTCCTGGAGGTATGCTGGTGCCAGGCCACAAAGAGATTTAGAGGTACAGTTCAGAACCTTGGATTGGGCCTGGACATATAGAGGTAGTCAGTACAAAAGCAGCGGCACACAGAATACGGTTGTCATCCTCCCATACTTATTAGAATGTGGATAGCGACAGTTTGTAACAACTACAGCTTTCAAGTTGTCTTTAAAGCCAGCCCTACACAGAACACATTACAATAGTCTAGGATATTACAGATACAAAGGAGAACATCATAAGGTCATCTGTACCCAACAATGGCTGGAATCTACACAACAATTAGGTAGATGGTCATATACACCATCTACCTACAGGTATTGCCTACTCTTCAAAGGGTGTTCCTAGTCTAGAAGAATCCTTACGCCCAAAACCCAACCAAACAGGGCTTCAACTATTCCATCTGCCCCAGGCATATCAGTCTCTTCTTGACCCCAAAAAGTGCCCTCACCAATGCTCCCTCTAAGCTGTAGAGTCTTGTGGGCAAAAATTATACAACGCTGTGAGCAAGCAATTTGACTACTGCATACATTAGTTTGCTCTGGAGCCATCCTTCCTGAGCCAAGACAAAAATATGTGAGCCGGAAGCTTAAAAAGCTAACTCAGCTTAGAGGGAACACTGGCCCCCACTAACATTACTACTGACTAGAGTCAGTCTTAATTAATTTGCTTTCACCCACCCTACCCCAGCCTATAGAAAAATGGCTGAGGTGTGGATGGCCACTCTTGGATGCTCTGCTCACAAAATATAGGACCGATTTCACACAAAAGATGTGCCGCGGTCGTGCCTCCCTTTGCCCCGCTTCTATTGGTCATTTCCCACTCGAAGCCGTGCAGCCGCGTTTTGACCCACAGCTTCGCCCAATTTTCCCCGCAGTTTCGTGATCCTCAAAAAACAGGATCATGAAACCGCGGGGAAAATCGGGCGAAGCCGCGGGTCAAAACGCGGCCGCGCAGCTTCGAGTGGGAAATTGACCAATAGAAGCGGGGCAAAGGGAAGTGTGACCGCGGCGCAGCTCTTGTGTGAAATTGGTCTAGAAGTATCATCAGCATACTGAAGATAAATTCCAAAATTCTGGGTGACCTCACCCAATAAGCTTCATATAGCTGTTAAAGAGTTGTAAACACTGCATGACTGTTATCAGTGACAATGCCTAGATGCAGCAATCCATGGGGTCAAACTACCCTCTTCTATAAGAATGTACTTATTTATTTTAAATACTTGTATCCTGCAATTGTCAGCCAATCCATTCTCAAAGCACTGCATAATAGAACAAAGTTCAACAAACAGTTAAAATACTTCAAATCAATCACTTTCAAATATAAAGTCAGCAGAAATCTGAAATATTAAAAACAGCAACTGGAATGAGAAATAAATGTTTTATCATAATAATATCTTAAAATAAGCAAATGAAGCAGAATTTAATAAACATTAAAAGCAGGTAGCCTAAAATGCACTGAGACAAATAAAACACACAATATATGGATACACACATACACGCACACATACACAATAAATAAAAAAAATAAAAACAGCAACTAATAGACAGAATGCATTGTGAAATAGGTATGTGCTAACATGGCACTGGAATCTGAAAAGCCACCTGGTAGATAGATGTGGAAAGGACATTTTATAACTGGGGGTCCACAACCAAGAAGGCCCCGTTCATTGTAACTCCCTGTTTCAATCCAGAAATTAATGGCAGACAGAGCAGGGACTTCTGAAAACATTAGCTGTCTGGCAGCCTCATACAGGAGCAAACAGGCATCTTTGTCTTCTTCTGTTATGAGCAAACAGAATGTAACACAACCATAGGAGAGCCAATGCTGACACTTCAACAGATCCTCCAACAGATGGATTCCATTGATCAGGAGAAAAGTAGAATATAAATATTTAAATAAATTAAAAACAAACAAGTGCATGAGAATGGTATGGGCCACTGTATGAAAAGCTTTCAAGAAGTCTAAGCAGATCAACGGGAAACTATTTCCCCCTATCTATGCACAGACAGTCAACCAGGTCTACTATGACTGACTCCATTCTATAACTATTCAATAACCAGCCAGACTGAAAAGTACTGAGGAAGGGTGTGTCACCCAGGAATGCTTGGAGTTGCTTTTCTACCACACATCCCACCACATTAGGAAGGTCAGCCTAAGGCGGGATCCTCCCAGAACGGATCCATCAAGATCTAAACCCTTTTTCTCTTATAAATCAAGGATTGTATGCAATCAGTTTTTAACCTCTGGATTCCCATACACTGTTTATGTGACATATTTGAAAAGATATCCCATCTCATAATCCTAGAAACAACAGTATGTTTTCCATCGATGTGATATGCCTGGGTCTCCCATTCTTCTTACCTGTGCTACTTCTTCGAAGTCATCGTGTCTTTTCTGAAGAGCTCGTGCCCTGTGAAGGGACTTTCCCACTCCAGTGTGTTTGCTGAGAAAGGCTTCCCCATGGTTTTCAATCCAGTCCAACACCTAGATAGAAAAGAAGAATATCCAATTATCTTCCATGGCCATTCAACACAAAACAACCAATTATCTGTGGGCACCACTTCAAAACAACTCCATTCCACATAAGTGGATTCAATAGCCTGAGGAGTGATCAGAGTTTATCTGCTCTCATACTCAACACTGTTCAGAGCCAAATCCAATCAGATCCAAGGGAAAATGCCGCTTTGCCGTTTACTGATAAATTGCCATTATTGAACTGCTGCTATTTGTTCATTCTTCATCATACATAATGGACACTTCTTGATGATCGGTCAACATTGTAGCAGAAATTAGAAAGCCATTACTACTATCATTATCTGGGGAAGACATTTATCTCTATGAAGTTTTCCTTCTAATCTGATTTCTGTGTAAACAGAGCCACTGTCATAGATGTACAATGATACAGTTGACACAGACAACATACCTCAAGGCTAAATACCTAACAAAACAGAATGGGCAAGCGTGGATCTGATTTAAGATTAGGAACTGGGATGGGAGGAAGTTATCCACATACTTAATGTGAAGGGGCTGAGGGGTCTATACCATAATACTATAAGACACCAGCCTTTCAAGTAACATCAGATTCCAGTCTACTCACCGTAACTCATCCCGATGAAAGGCAGCATGGCAAACCTGATATTCAGTGGTTTTAAAAGATTAACTTTCCAAAATATATCAGCTGTTCTACAGCTGCCAGGTACCAAGCTTCTCCCAAACTGATCTAGCTTTGTTCTTACAATTTATTTCCCATCAAATATGCCTATGCCTTCTTCTAATCCCAATTTTTAAAGAGACTGTGATACAGTTGTGCCCTAGTAGAATGATTCAAGACCACACAGGGTACAAAAATGTATGGAATCAGACCAGTGGTCCATGAAACAAAGATGTAGCTAGAAAACTCTGATTTTTAATTCAGATCTGCAAGAATGTTAGCATTTTTCTTCCTCACATCTTCATGCATCCATGAATAAGGTGCCCTTGGTAAAACCTGGTAGGACATACTTCAGGTTTGTGTGTGTGTTTTTTTTTTAAGTCTTCACTAGTAGTCACATGAAAAACATTACGTTTTATTTTTTATTCATGCAGTTCAATCCTACCAGTTTTTCTACTGGTGAGAAAAGGAGGATGGAGTCCCGTTTGATCAGAGGTCATTTGGGGGGGGGTCGCGGGGGATCGCAGTTCCCCTGGGTGAGGTACGGGGGGCGGGGCACA